TTTCGTGACAGTGATTTTGCCGCAAATTCATATTCCCCATCATATGCTCTTTTTTTCTGGAATTTAGTCATTGTGTTATTCTAATGATGGTTCGATAAGTCTACTAAAAATATACATTAAAATGTTTATTGCTCAACTTATATATATTAAGTTGTTCTGCTCCTTTGTCCCCAATTGTATTATTTCTGAGAGTGATAAATGTCAATGTCTGTATATAAAAAGAGCAAACAAAATTCAATAGAAAAAATGACATTCTTAACTTACCCTGTTCTCTCGTAATGCTTCAGCTAAATATTTCGCGCCGTCATCTCCGATTTTGTTATATTGAAGATTCAATGTTGTCAGTGTCTTTAGAAATTAATAAGTATTTTACCAAGATAAATGCAAAAACAGTTTTATCAACCTGATTGTTTCTCAATGCATCAGCCAAATGTTTTATTCCTTCATCTCCAATATGATTGCGATCTAAATCGATGCCTTTCAGTGTCTACACGAAAAGCAACAGCATTGGTTAAAAGAAACAGGGAGCCATAAATGCTTTAACTGTGTTGTGCTGTATGACATCAGCCATGTATTGTGCTCCCTTATCTCCAATATGATTTTCTCCCAGACACAGTGTGTTAAGCGTCTGTAACAGAGAAAACAAATATAAATATGAGACTAGTAAGAGTTATTTTGTCTTACAGCATTGTCTCGTAAAGCATATGCAAGATATTGTGTTCCTTGTTCTCCAATTTGATTTTCGTGGAGACTGAGCCATGTCAACGTCTAAAAGTATTAATAAGGTACGAATATGTCAGAAACAGAAAAATACATTTTACTAACCGTATTATTTCGTAATGCGTTACACATAAGTTGTGTGCCGTCGGCACCAATTTGGTTTCCTTGAAGGTCGATTCGTTTAATTGTCTGTGTAAATACAAGGCAATATTGTCAGATATATTATGGAAAGAGCTTCCTCGTACTCGATTCTGTTGTAATGCTTCAAAGAGATATTGAGCACCTCTTCCTCCAATTTGATTGTTAACGAAATCAAGGTTGTTCAGTGTCTTTATTGAGCGAAAAGTTGCACAATTACAAAACAAGGAATGACAATATTACTGACCATGTTATCTCGCAATGCCTCAGCTAAATATTTCGCTTCATTTTCTCCGATTCTATTAGTTCCAAGACCAAAATCGTGCAATGTCTGTATTAAACAAAATTTCAGCAAAAATACAAACAAGAAAAGATAGCCTTACTCATCTTCTAATGTTACAACGCGTTAATTAAATATTTCGATTTGTTTTCTCCAACTCTCTAATATCCCATAGAAAAGTCCTTAAACAGGCTTTCTCTGACCACATTCTAAATTTTCAGATTTTCCATTTTTGGTTTTTTGATGGTGTGGGTGTGGGCATGAAGTCGATGAAAAGAACACCCATACGACACACATCCATACCCACACCTTTTTATCTTTTGCTTGTGCCTATTGATATCCTTGAATGATCTCGAAAATTTCACTCATATTCGAACTGGAGTCAGACAGCCATCCCATTTTCAGGTCTTGTGACTTTAATATCTTCCACAGAAAAGCATTGGAAAAATTTAGCCCAAGATTTTCTATGTCTCATCCAGTACTAGTATATATCCTATACTATACTGTACTTATCTGAATCCCAAACAAAGATTTTTAGGCCTAACGTTATGTTTGAATTGTTGATTTTGAATGCATAACATATAAGCTTTAATTTGATATAGAATTAATAGCTATGTAGAATTCACATCGTTCAAGAGAGAGAGAAACCTTTTGAAAAAGATATCTATAGATACTATCGGCAACGAGAGGGCTAAACGTATGGCAATGTTCGCTGTGCTTATCGAGATTCATTGGCAATGAAATTTTCAAATTTGACTGACGAGTCGTTTTCCAGAAACAAGCAAAATATGGGATCTACTTAAATATGTGCTTTGAACCAGGATCATGAAAACCGAAAACAAAACCATACAATCTTACATACTTTGTTGTCGCGTAATGCAATAGCTATACATTTCGCTCCGTTTTCTCCGATTTCGTTGATATCCAAACGCAGTTTTGTCAGTGTCTTTAGAAATTCAAAAGTACTTAGCAAAAATAAGCGCAAAAACGGTTTTATCAACCCGATTATTTCTCAATGCATCAGTCAAATATTTTACTCCTTCACCTCCAATATGATTACAACGTAAATCAAGTTCTTTCAGTGTCTACACGAAAAGATCAATATTCACTAACAGAATATGGAGAAAATAAATGCTTTAACTTTATTGTGTAGTAATAAATCCGCTATATATTGTGCACCTTTTTCTCCAATATGATTTCCCAACAAGTACAGTATGCGAAGTGTCTGTAAAAAAGAAAAGAAATATTAATTTATGATTGAAAAAAGAACTATTGTATCTTACGACATTGTCTCGTAGAGCATTAGTAAGATATTGTGCCCCTTGTTCTCCAATTTTATTGTTACTGAAATCGACAGTTTTGAATGTCTGTTCAGAACGAGAGTTATTCAAGAATTTTGAGTCTTCTTCATAAAACATTAACCTTCTTTCTCATTGTAAATGAGAAGTGCACAAAATTCAAGATTTCATCTCTTTATAATAAGAAAATGATTAACGTCTCACTTTGTGTCAGAACAAGAGCATAGTCAGCTTCCAATTGGCTTCGCCAATCAAAGTTTCGAGATAGTTTTCTATAGTGGCCAAGTTATCCTGTATTGTAGCAAGAATTTCATCAATTCATAAGCAAAAGCGTGTTGTCAGAAAGAGTATGGATGTGGGTAGCTGTGATTGACATCAGCAAATCCACATCAACATTCACACTCAGTTTTAATTCTCTTATACAGAACAAAAGCGAATATTTGGATCCAATGGCGCAAGAAGTTTTAGCATAAAATCAACAAAAGATTAAGAGTATCCCACCGAACCGACCAAAAAGACTATATGCAGATATTTCTTTACTAACCAGAGACAAGGAGTGATTTATTGCATAAACTTGAATCGAAGAAATTGTAGGGTTGGTTAGATTTGAAATCTCGTCGACGATTAAAAATCGATTTGTTCACAAAGTCGTGACAACATAAGACCCGTTAACCATGTTATTCTGTTTACTCACAAAGATTACAAAAACCTTGTTTTACCTGGTTATTGCACAGAGCATAATAGGCCACAATCTCCATATCTTGATCGGTCAAGTTCTTTGATTGTAAATCCAACTCTGAACTATCTTTATTATCAGCAATGATTCGTTCAAGTCCATGATTACGGTATTTAGGTGGTGATGAAGCTGGTGTTGACTCTTTTACCAATGAGGGTTTCATATTTTGTACTGGAGGTGTTAACTTTGATGCAGCAATTGTTGGCTTTGCTGCTGTATGCGTTACTTTCGGTTCTGATGGAGTCGGCACCACAGTAAAGAAACAAATAGTTCATGCGAATTCGGTGACGAAAATGAGCCTCGAATCATATTCGGCTCTAAAAATATGTCATAACATAAATATTCAATCAAAGATATCACAGAAATTCTATCTTGATTGATAAAATAAATGCTCCTGTAATGATGAAAGTAGTTGTCATAGGATTTTTATAGAAAAAAAACGAAACTAAAGCGTACTTTTCACAATGATAATGCTGGAATGCACCTTCATCAACCGGATAAAGAAGCTAGTATCATAGGCTTGAAGATATTTTTCAAATGAAATCACAAGTCACCATTGCTGTTTAAACATTACAAACATATTTCTTTACAATAAATATTGTAATTAACATCTGCTGAGATCTATACTCTTGAACTTGACCCACGTGCCTTTGTTTCATCTCTTGCGAAATACTGAAGTTTAAGTCAATCATTTTTTCTGGACTTCGACATAAATGGGATCGAATTGCAAAGTTCTAATGTTCAGGTAACTCGGAATGAATGCATCTACAAAGCATTATTTTAACTTTCAAGGCTAACTGATTTGTTGTACTTGAATGTAAGAAACCTGTCTCATTGAATATCTTAATGGTATTATACAATTACTTTGACTAGCATAGCTCATTGTACTTATTCTCTATAACAATACTTTTACCTATATCGCTTTTACTTGGACAGCGTATAGTATAGAACGGAGTAAAGACCTTTTGATTACACTTTAATTGACTTTGATGTGCATTAAACTGGAGAATAATGCCATAAAGGCTTATACTTTTTTCTAATGACTTAAATAAAACTAATCGTGTAGTTTAGTTCTTCTACAACAAGTATTACGTAGATTTTTTATGTGATCTTACTAGAAAAAGATTGATTATTCGACTCAGTATCAATCGGTACCGGTTGCAAGAGTGGATGAGGTGGTTGAGTTTCTTTAAGTTGAATTACATGAAGGTCACCTTGATCAAGACAACCGATAACCTTAAATTGAGTAGCAGCAAGCAAAAGAATTTCATCTTCTGATGGAAAAAAGAATGATTTCGAATATCTTTCCCAGATTCACATTCGATATTGAACATTGTTCTTACACCTGTCTTACCCAAAAATTGTTCTTATTGTAAAACATTTAATGAGGTAGTGCATGATGAAAATCCCCACCATACTATTGTTTTTTCCATACTATATGATTTGCTCAAGTTTAATTTCACACCACGATAAACAGTTCGACTAACTGATGGAAGACGAAAGAGTCCACTGAGAAATAGCCTTAAATAGAGTAGCCAAGGATTCATTTTTCGTCGATCTGGTGATCGTAAAGTCTGGTTTAACACAAAGTAAAGACGTTCATCAATTGGTTCCCATCCCATAGAATAAAGCATTATAGCAGCTGATTCATCTTGTGTAAGTCCATCAGCAGGTTCTTCGCATCGTTGCTTAGCTACATAAGCAAAACTTTGAACATTTGGTAGAAACTCGACAAGTTCTTCAATAGCTATCTCGAGTGGAACAAGCGGTAATTTTTCATAACCACAAATTGGTAGAAGATATTGATGTGGTTCTAAAGCAACATCCGTTATACGTCGAATATGCTGTGCTAAATCATTTCCTCTTGCAGTCGCCATATCAAGTAACAAACAATCGTGTTAAGTATACGAAAAAATTCTGAAAATATAAATCGAGAACTATATATTGCTATTATTATTTGATTTCGATAAATCGATAGTTATCAAATTTTCTATCTTAGAATTTGTAGATCTTGAAATATTCTCTTCAACGTATATTCACGGACTAAATGATTCTTTTAGATGATTGAAATACAAATACTTCAGTGAATTTATACACAGATAATATCGTTAACCTAAAAGATTTAAGGGAGTCATAGATCATCATGTTTGCCTATAATATGCTTTCAAAATGATGAAAACTAGTTTTAGTCAATATAAAAGATTGTCTGCTGTACTAGTGGAAATATATGCATTCTAATTCTATTTTCTATTTTACGTGCAAACATAACAAGAAGGCACTACCTTCTAGAACACCAGCTCTAAGAAACAGTTTCAGATTAATACTCACTCTCGACTTGTTCTGTTGTTTTTTCTGTTATTGTGCTGTAAAACACACTGTGTTAAGCGTTTTATCGGTTCTTATCTGTAACTATTTCAGATAAAAAATTTAATGGTGACGCTTACAATTCATATGATAGGAACGTCAACAATTTGCTTGTACGAGTGCGATTTTTTTCTATTGAATTTTTACGTATTGTCTATAAAAGTGATGTCTATATAAAGTGAAACTTGTTATTGAATAGAAGCTTCTCATCCAATAAAGTTTTTGAGAAATATTCCGTAGTAGTCTTTCAATCTCAAGTTTTCGTTCGGTATTTATACATAATGATATATAAGTTCGAGATTAATCAACTAATGAAATGACATCAAATTCTTCAAAGTATTTATCTTTGACAGAAATTCAGCCCTATATCGATGAATTGAAATAGAAATGATCGTTTAAATTCTTTTTATGTAAATTTCAATTAAAGTAGGTCACTGTGAATATTCTAATCGTCACTAACCAAAAAAGCCTGCAAGATAATAGACCTCGGACTATGTTTCATTCTGCAGAAATGATTTTGTAATAAAATGGTCTTAGTATTTGACATAATGAAAAAAACTCTTATTCAGTGCAAACTTTTCTACCCTGTAAAAAAAAACATTTATTGTGACTGTGTTCTTATAGCAGTGTACAAACACATTCGCGAAGGGAATCTATAAAATCACTAGTAACACCGTATGATAGCGGCATCATGAAATCGGGTTAGAATTGCTTAATGCAGTTGGTTTAGTCACAAGTTCAAGAAGTCCATTGATTTAGGAGAGTTCTGACGAATTGTGAGTAGTACATAAAATCCAGCAAATAGAAGCTATCATTAGCTTAAATGGAGGAACCACAATGGTTTGTGGTCTCTACTGCTAACTTAGCGCTATCTAGTCAAAAGCTATTTTCAGATTATAGTAAAATGCAAGAAGTATGCACACTAGCGTGTTTATGCGTATTGATAAATTGTTTGTTACGTTCGTTTCGAGGGGGAAAGCAATTTGTTAGTAAACATATGTTTGACAGAAATCATAGTAAAAGGAGAATAAGAAAAATTCGAAAAACATGTTCATATGAGTTGACAGTTTGATTTACTATATTTCAGTTGGATTTCTGATGCCTTCCACTCAACTACCAACGCGTAAAGTTCTCTGTGAACCCTTCGATTTCAACATTTGACGTACTCCGTGATGAACTGAAACAACTCGACTTGTCCTTATGTGGCATGTTCACTTGCCACAAAGCACCACTTGGCAGTTAAGTGACTTCAGCAGTTTTTCATATCGTTCAGCTTTCATATCTTTTCATGAATTTTTCTTAAATTCAGCCTACAGTTATGTTATACTAGTGGCTAAGTTTTCATATGAACTGTCATACTATTTTCTCTTCACTGTATTTCTATAAATAACAATAAAGGAATGATTTTGATGCAAACTATTTTGTTATCATATGTGACAGTTACACTAATGCCTACTTAAAAAGAAAAGGGGAATTGTATATTTTTGAATAATTTTTGATAGAAACACAATAGAGAGCTTCAGTGTTCATCATTCGAAAGAGAGGATGAAGATATCCAATCACGCATACAGGTTTTTCTAGTATGTTGTTTGAAGTTTGTTTAATCAATTTTCTAAATGTCAAAAAATTTGATTTTCCATCAAAAAGGAAACAGCAAAACAAAAAGAAAATTCTTTTTCCACAGAAGTTGCTAGAAAAATCACTTAGAGTTTCGACTAGAACACCAGTAACTCCTGAAAGCTCAATTCTAAATATGTGAACCTCGTGAAGTTTTGTAGATCTTCCATTCATGGTTTGAATACACAGATGACAATTGAAAATTTGCTGTAAATATTTCATGGATTAGATTTATTTTCAAAGAGATCTTTTGAAAACTTTAAGAAAACGATGAAAACTGCAGCTCTCTATCTTGTTTCTATCAGAAAGAACTTACTATTGGCAGAGACTCTTTACAGCTTCTGTTGAGGGTAGTGCAAATTTATATGTGTTGTCAAACTGAAATAATGAATGAATAAGTGAATTCTTTTCAACGACCACGCTCCTTTATTCGAACGAAAATTTTCTCTTTTGACGATTTTTCTTTCTCAATAATCGATGTGTGCTTTTGTTGACACTCGAGGAGCCTGTATGACTGTAACAGAAAGAAACGATAAAATGTTGCGTCTACTGTTGACAACTTTCTTTTTGTGTATGTCTTGATACGCTGTCAGTGTCAAAGTATGATTGTATTGAGGTAACAAATGTCTTGTGAAAAAAATCACTTTCTCTTCCAACGAAACAATACAAGATATTTTTTGTTGTTCTCTACTGTTGCATTTTGGGTGTACATACTCATATTGTTTTTTGATCATGCAATATATTATAATGATACAGTAAAACGTTCTAACGACAAAGTTTTCATGAAGAAATAAAATTGTAAAGAAGGTGCTTCGATCTAAAAGCAAAACCAGTGCGATTAAATTATGAGTAATGATCTGATAAATGAGGATGATGTGTGAGTTTTGTCTTCTCTTCACTCACACCCACACTGTGTGTAATGAATGAATATTTGTTGGAGGTAAGAGATGTAGAAAAATTTGTTCGCCTTCTTACATAAAGATAGTTTGTTTCTTTTGTCGATACTTTTTTCTGTCGATTTTCATGAGATTGTTTTGATTGGTGCTGAAGGACTCTCATTATGTATTTTAAGAATGCTTGCAAAGCAAGTCTGCATCAACGCAACATAATAAAACGAATGCATCATCATTGAAAAAAGACGAAAAAAAATCTCAAGAGAATGAATATTGTTGCCAAGCTTTTTTTCTCTACATAGTGGTGGATATGTGCAGCTAGAAGGCTTGCGTTTGAAATCGATAAGCCCATGTAACCACGAAACGCACAATGGACGCGGCTAGATGCGTTTCTGTTGAAAATATTGGCGTTCTGACGCGTTTTTATTGAAAATGCCGGCGTTTCGACGCGTTTTCGTATTAAAGAATAATGTAAACGCGTTCGGTTTGAACGCGTTTAAAGAGCATTACGAGCTTGATAGCAAAAACTGAGATAAACGCGTACACATGCGTTTTTATTTTCGTTCGAAACGCGTTGGTCTGCTCCAGACCTTTTCATGCGTTTAGAAATATACTCAACAATTAAAAGAAGCTATTTACCAGCCGCTAAAAATGCTTTTTGTTTATTATTTCTAATTTGTGTTAGTCAAAATATATTGAATATTTATTGGCATTATTTGGGAAAAAAAGGAGTGCAAAAAACAAGCCGATCTTTTTAAATTAAAATTTACTATTTTTTGTTGAATAGATGACAAAAAATATCCTTTTATTTTTATTTGAAATAAGTTGATGCGTGTTGAATTGTCAATATATATATATAACGATGTTTGAATTATTAAAAATTAAAAATATTGTTCAAATTATAAGTTTTCTACATTTAAAAAAATAATATTAATACAAATAGTTTTGTTTATATTTAATGATATAATAATAAATGGCCTTTTATTTGGTTTTATAAAGTAAAAAAAAATGAGTCTTTCATTTTTAGAAAATAAAAATTTGATGATTTTTTTTTACGTAAAAATCTAAGATTTTATTTTTTCCATATATTTCAGAGAAAACTGTGTTATCTTCATTTTAAATTGTATAATTGTCTAACTTTAAATAAACTATTTTCATTCTTTAATTTCTCTATTTTGTAAAAAAATAAAGAAACTTAATTTTCTTTATTTTATGAAGATAAGGATTTTATTTTGAAAATGTAAATATTTTATTTAATAAATATTATAAATTTAAATATTTTATATATAATTATTTTATGAAATACAGATAAATCATAAATAAAATATTCATATTTATAATATTTACAAAATAAAAATAAATAAAAAAATCTTCATTTTTTAAAATTGAAATCTTAAAATCTTCATTTTTATTTCATAAATGTAAATTTTCTATTTTATGGATATTATAAATATAAATATTTTATTTATAATTATTTCACGAAGTAAAGATAAATCACAATATCTCCATTGTGAAACCTTATATTAAAGAGAGAAAAAAGAATTATTCATTTGGTTCAATGATATAGAAACACTTTCGAGGCATGGATGGCTCAGAGCTAGTTGTGCTTGGTTCGCAATCAGTTGGTCGCGTGTTCAAATCTCGGTTCAAGTTGTCGCTGACAGGATTTGAGTCTTATATCATAGCTCGCTATGGTGCGTCGGTTCGATTCCAATATAGGGTGATGATTATTTTTGAATTTTTTTTGGGAATAAATTAAACGCACGAATTTAAACCAGTGTAGATGCGTTTATTGAATGAAACGCGTTTGAACGCCCTAAAATGTTGCATTTTGGACGCGTTTTAACGCGTCACGTTATATTGCACAAACGCTCGGAAACGCGTCACTAATCCTAAAAATGGTTACATGGGAGATTTATAAAACACAGACATTCATTTTCGCGACATGCTTTTTTAAACGAATGAATAATAATTGACTTCAAAAGTGTTACTACCTCTTATCATTGATTGATTCTATTTTGCTTATGGTTGTCATGCTATAGAAACTCATTCTGTGATAAAAACTCCACAGGAAAATGTTAATAACGTGTAGTGAGTAAGATAAATAATAGATGATATGAAACAACGTACGCACCGATTGCCACTCTCATTCATATACCTACCTTTATTATTGTATCATAGGATATTACGAAACACATTGACTTGATGAAATAATATTTAGCAAAAGTATTCATTTTCCTTTCGTTTTTCTTCCAGATCAATAATTCAATAGATAAAAACTAACCCGTTTTATAAGTTCAACTAGATGACTTGATTTTTTCATCATAAACCAAACACAATATACAAAGAAACATAAACAGCCGTTTGATACATGACTACAATCAGATGAATTACACAATAGACTGTTCGCACTAGTAAATATTTTTCTCTAAATGTAGACGTAGATAAATATAATTTGTATTTTTGGAACATTGATTACTACGCTTGAACGTTCTCTCATAATGTGTTTAATAATCAGTTTTTTTTCTATTACAACTTCAGGTCTATTATTCTTGTAGAACAAAAATGATCTTATATTACTTTTATAAACATCAATAAAATTCATTGTATTGGTATCGAATTGAGAAAATCAATGCATTTTTCAATAACTATTATAATATATGATGAAACTGTCTACAATTATCTTCATGTTTGTCTAAAACAATCAAGTACTAATTCGGTCAAATTCTTTCGTTCAAATAACGTTTTTGCCGATATAATTCAAGTAATCGAACATACCTATTTTAAGTATACATATTGTCATTCGAAAGAAAATCAAACTCTCAAACGATCACTTAGAGTGTGCTTAAATGATTTATAAATCATAAACACAAAACGAAAAGTTCTTTCAATAACGAAATATCGCTATGGCGAAGAAGTATCTCTACCAGTTCGCACATTAAGATCATTGCAACGTGTAACATGATTAGTCAACAACTCTAATACAAGAAAAAATCTATGGAAAACAATAATCATGTCCATACCCATGCCACAGACAGAAAGAAAAAGCAGAAGTTGAATGTGTACAAATAGAGTGAACATTGCATGATAATGGTGATGATATTTCATTGCATATGTACATAACCCTAAGGTAAATCAGCAATTCTGATGATCAGCAAGAATATGTTCCGATAACGAAATAGAGAGAGTTGAAGAAGGTATGAGCAAGTGCGAGTAAATAAAGAACTGTACAATCTATGTCTATTTTCATTTTCTTTGAAATTTTCTTAACATTTTAACCAGCGTCATCTGTTGAAATATTAGATTAAGATATTTACTATTCGAAGAGTAAATACTAGTGGTGAATAATATAGATTTCGAATAATTTTTTGTATAGAACATGAAAATACTTTCATCCATTTCTAAATTCTTACTGAGAGAAAAAAAAATACTTAGTGACTTATTCATCTTTATTCTATTTAAGGCAGTTTTACATAATTTTATTTAATACAAAAACATGTAAAATCTTCATCATTAAAGTTCTGCTGTTTTGTTTTTCTAAAATAATTTTTTTACTTATTTTTTAGAATCTAATATTCATAAACAGTACGCAATTCGAATATTTTCCTCAATCGTCATTTATTCATCCTTGAAAAAGAATGAAAATTAAAGATAAAGTTCAAGTTAATCCATCATTAAGACAAAAATCATCAACTAAAGTTAATAATGCATCATTCGGAATTGATATTATTGGTAAAGAAATAAAAGAAGAACTTTCAAATGATTCAGGAATTTCAATTGATCAACATCAAAGTTTATCATTAAAAAGTCAAAGTTTTTCACCATACTCTGATAAAGTAATTATAAATTCTAATGATCAAAATTCGAGAATTTCACGTAAACGTGAACGATATAAACGAAATCGTCAAAAGCGGAGACAACAACGAAAACAATTTATTTATGAAAAAGACTTAATTAATAAACAACAATTATCAGTACTTTTTTGTCAACAACAAAATTTATTATTGAAACAAGATGAAAAAAATGTAACACATTTGTTTGATGAATATTCAAATGAAAATATTCTTAAAGAATGGAAACCATTAACAATTGAACAATCTAATGAACTTTATCAATATGCTTTAGATAAATATCATCATAGAAACAATTAATAATTAAAATTTTCTTCTTGTCTTATTGTTGAAAGTAATTATTTATATAAATCTTATTTATTTTGTTAATTTTTTCTGTGAATAATAAAAACAAATTATTATTATTACTATTTATTGAAGATTCATCTTTTTTTTCTGCAAGAATAAATACTCTGTGATATTTAAAAGAGAAAGTAAATCGATTAGGTAATCTATAGTTTGTTTTATATACAGTGCTTTGAAGAATTATAGAATTAACTGTTTGATTTCAGTTATTAGCTCGTTCTCTGTCAGTTTAGATTTTCGAGAGAAGCAAAGTCCATACGACTACATGTGTTTGAAACGAAATTTTATCAATTGGTATTTCACTGCATGAAGTTGGACAATACATGCAACAGTCAGAACTGTAGTAAATCAGTTATATTTACGTTAATATGATATCGAGTTTTTCGAAAAATTGTTATAGACTTGTCTCTTAGATGCGTGCTTTTTCTTTTCTTCTTCTTGATTTAGTCAATCCAGGGATTAAATGATATAAATGTGACATTAAAATCACATGAAGTCATTGAAATCAATTTTTTTCCTCCTTCTAAGGTGTATTATCCATTGATCAATCTAAAGACGATAGACCAATCTAATGCCATAAATCAATTCTATTTGTTTCTACTTCCGAGAAAACAAACTAAAAACAACTGTTCGGTAATATTGGTTTTTTTTCAACGGCATTTTTAATAAATACTAAATAATGAGTCCTTTTATAATAGAATACTTACTTGACCAAGGTGAGGTTTGATATGGTGCAAAAATGAATGAAAATATTGTTTGTTACTCGAAGGTGCTTGCATAAAAAGAGCATGAATATGAAGAGTAGCGGCCATGAATATAGTGAAATCATATGTAGCAACAGCAGCAGATGCTGTCACTACGCTTGTACCATTGACGATAGTCAAGCCTTCTTTGGCTGTGAAATTCAAAGGTTCTATGTTCAACTTAGCTAGACCAACTGGTGCAGACATAGTTTAGCCTTGAAAATCGGCGAGAATTCTTTCATCATTACCAGCTATTGCTGCAGCAATATATGTCAAAGGCATAAGATCACTTAATGTTCCAATCGAGACACTAATGGAGTGACATTGTTCATTAAAAAAATAATCATATACTCATTCCATATTTGACGAATACCTGAAGTACCAATGAGATGCGAGTTGTCTCGTAGAACCATCGCAGCTCGTACAACTTCCAATGGTAAAGATGGACCAGTATCCATATGGAACACTGCTATGAGATTGCTCTGAAGTTCTTCATACATATATTTTTCTATAGTTTGTGTTGCAAGTCCTCCAAACTGAGTAGTAACACCGTACAGTGGCAAACGCTGATCAACAGCATTAGATATAACATCAACTGATGTATTCATACGGGATTTAACATTCTTATTGTCTGTCAATTGAACCTTCCTATAGTAACGAGCTATAGATACAACATCTTCTAATGTTAATTGATCACCAGATAGTATAATCGACTTTTCTTTCATAGTAACTTAGATCAATTTTACAATTTAAAATAAACAATACTTCGATCTATGACAGAAAAAAAATCTTTTTTCTTTTATATTTATACATATATAGATCAATTTGATTGTAAAAATTCAGTATACTAAATTTTCACAGTACTTTTTCTATAGCATCGATCAAATTCACTTGTTTGTTTATAAGCGGTGGGCCGAAAGTTTAGCAACAAAATATCTATTTGTTTTGAATTCCCTTGAAAATATTTGCTATGAGCTACAAGCTTTGGAATAGGACTAACATATCGTGCACTTTCCGAATATGTGCTTAGACATTTTATCTTAGCTTTTATTCGAAAATAGTGAGTTAATCTTTGAAAGACCTAAGAAATGAGTTTGGACGGCAAGTATGAGTCGAGGTTTCTGATATAGACGGTTGTTCAATTTGATCTGTTTGAAAGTATTTTAAACAAGCCAAAAGCTATAGATAAGGATCAGAATGTTGTGCTATCTTTGAAAATGGAATTAAAAATATTGTATCTATTTTTGTTTGAAATTACTGATGAAATTTTTTAAAGACCGAAAAATTAGAGTGACTGGCTCCTTCGTCTAAGAAATGTCTTTTGATCAGTAAGTCGATTTTTTTGATCTCTACAAGCTGATATATTAATAAA